AGGATATTACTTTCAATCTTACAGAAGTAAAAAAGATTGTAAAAGAAAACTGAACAATTCTACACCAGCCAACTAGATAATCTGGACAAAATGGACACATTCATAGAAACACATAAAGTATAAAAACTGACTCAAGAAGAAACTGAAAATCTGAATAGACCTATAACAAAGAGATTGAATTAGTAATTTAAAAACTACCCACAACAATCAGCAAAACTAAAAGGCAACCTACGGATTGGGAGAAGATCTTTGTAAATGACATATCAGGTAAAGGGTTAGTATCCAAAATCTATAAAGAACTTATCAAAGTCAACACCCAAAAAAATAATCCAGTGAAGAAATGGGCAAAAGATACGAATAGACACTTTTCAAAAGAAGACATCCAGATGGCTAACAGACACATGAAAAAATGCTCAACATCACTCATCATCAGGGAAATACAAATCAAAACCACAATGAGTTATCACCTCACACCTGTCAGAATGGCTCACATTAACGACTCAGGCGATGACAGATGTTGGTGAGGATGTGGAGAAAGGAGGACTCTTTTGCACTTCTGGTGGGAATGCAAACTGGTGCAGCCCCTCTGGAAAACAGTATGGAGGTTCCTCAAAAAATTAGAACTACCCTATGACCCAGCAATTGCACTACTAGGTATTTATCCTAAGGATACAGGAGTGCTGTTTTGAAGGGGCACATCCACCCCAATGTTTATAGCAGTGCTATAGACAATAGCCAAAGTATGAAAAGAGCCCAAATGTCCATCGATGGATGAATGGATAAGGAAGATGTGGTATATATATACAATGGAGTATTACTCAGCAATCAAAAAGAGTGAAATCTTGCCATTTGCAACTACGTGGATGGAACTAGAGGGTATTAGACTAAGTGAAATTAGTCAGAGAAAGACAAGTATCATGTGACTTCCCTCATGTGGAACTTAAGATACAAAACAGATGAACATAGGGAAAGGGAAGCAAAAATAATATAAAAACAGGGAGGGGGACAAAACATAAGTGACTTTTAAATATATAAAAGAAACTGAGGGTTGCTGGAGGGACTGTGGGAGGGGGGGATGGGCTAAATGGACATGGGGCATTGAGGAAGGCACTTGTTGGGAATAACACTGGGTGTTATACATAGGGGATGAAACACTGGATTCTACTTCTGAAATCATTATTGCATTATATGCTAAGTTGGATATAAAGTAAAAAATAAAAATCAATAATAAAAAAGAAAAAACTACCCACAAAGGAAAACCCAGGACCAGAGGCTTCACTAGGGAATTCTACCAAATGTTTAAAAAATTAACACCAATCCTTCACAGACTTTTCCAAAAATAGAAGAGGAGGGAACACTCCCCAACTCATACTGTGAGGTCAAGACCTTGATTCCAAAACTAAAGAAAGACATCACAAAAAAGAAAACCACAGACCAACATTTCTTATGAATATACACAAAAATCCTCAACTAAATATTAGCAAACCAAATCCAGCAACATATACAAAGATTATACACCATGACCAAGTGGGGCTTATTGCAGGATTGCAAGGTTGGAATAACATATGAACATCAATGTAATACACTACATTAAGAGAATGAAGGACAAAGGTGATAAGATCTTTTAATCTTTCTGATATAGCAAAAGCATTTGACAAATAAAACATGCAAACAACAAGGAAGGGAGGAGAAATTCCTCAACATGATAAAGGGGTTTATGAAAAACCCACAGCTAATATATTTAATGGTGAAAGACTGTAACTTTCAGCCTAAGATTAGGAACAAGACTTCTATTTAGCAGTGTACTGGATATTCTAGCCAGGGAAAATAGAGAGAAAAATGAATAAAAATCAATAATGGAAGGGAAGAAGTAAAACTATCTCTTTTTGCAGGTGACATCTGGTGGATAGAAAAGCTTCAGAAATCCCTTATGAAACTACTGGAAACAATGAACAAGTTCAGCAGGGTTGTAGGGTGCCAGAGGAATCTATGAACTTTAATTATATTTCTATACACTGTGAAAAATCTGAAAAGGGAATTGAGAAAACAACTCCACATACAATCACATCAAACATAATAAAATACGAATAAACTAAAGGAGTGTGAGACTTACATGCTTAAAACTACAAACATTGCTTGATGAAAGTAAAATCGAAATAAATGGAAAGACAGCCCACATTAATGAATCAGAAAACTCTTTTATAATCACACTTACCCCCTGCCCCAATCGTTCCCAATCCCTGGCAACCACTCATCTGTTTTCATTCTCTATAATTTTGTTATTTCAAGGATGTTTTATGAATGGAATCATCCAGTATATAATCTTTTAAGATGGGCTTTTCCCACTGGGCATAATGACCTTGAGATATGTCCAAGTTGTGTGTGTATCAACAGATCATTCCTGTTTATCTTGCCTCCTTGTGTAACTCTCGAATATTTTTAGAATTCCACTTTGATCTATCTATGGTATTTTGGGGGTGTACCTCTTTACATAGTTGTTTCTTTGTTTGTTTGTTTGTTTTTAGTGGTTACTCCAAAAGTCATATTATTTGTAGCTTAGGCAGTTACTGGTGTTGACATTTTACTCTTCTGAGAAAGTATTACAGGTCCCTGAGGTTTTCTTCACTTTCTTCAGTCTCCCAACTGTGTTCAGTTTGGGTGGTTTCTATTCTGTGCTGGGGTTTCCCCATATGGCTGGTGGAAATAGGCATTATTCTTTGCGTTACGTGAGTGCCAAGCGCTATCCCCTGACCTGGAGCACACGCATGTCTCAGTCTAAGGCTTGAGGGGGATCCTCTGGAGATCTTTGGAGCTCTCTCTCTCTCCTTTCCAGTACCAGTCCTGCAAAGTCTAGCTGTCCTGGTCCCCTGGGATTTCAGCTCTGTCTCTTTGACTAAGGGAGTCCATTCATGTCCACCTGGCTTCCTTATCCACGGATCAAGGCCTGGAAATACTCTTGAAGCACTGAGCTGGGACAGTCACAGGTTCACTCATTTGTTTCCTGTCTCTTGATCATTGTCCTTTGTTGCCTGATGTTCAGTGTCTTGAACACCTACGTTTTCTATATTTTGTCTGTTTCATATATTTTGTCTGGTTCCTGCTGCTTTATTGTAGCTGGGTAGAGGTGTCTCAGTAATTACTTCTTGTTGGAAAGTAGTTTTCCTAAAGGTACATTATGTTAGTACATAATAGTTTTCTCACTTGATTTTAAAATGAATTAACAGCTGGTTAAGAAAATGTTTCATTTTCACTTCCAAGATGGTAAATATTGATAGATGCAGCCCACATAAATTAACTCTCTTCCATGTCCTCAGTACTTTTTAGGAGTGTAAAAAAAAGACCAAGAAGTTTGAGAATTGCTTACCTAGAGGAGTTTATTTAATCCCCACAAATTTCTTTATGAAGGAGGTACTATTATTATCTGCTCTATTTTACAGATAAGCAGACTGAGGCCCAGAGTAGGGAAGCACCTGCCTCGGTGACAGTAAGTGTGAGACTGGATGGTCCGTGCTCTTCAAACCAGCATGCTGCACTGCCCTGAACAGTGTGGGTTTTTCAACTCTTGTCATGTCTGAACTTCACAGAATAAAGGCCCAGCCCCTGGTCTCCCACGTGTGTCCACCTGCTTTTCACCGGGCATAATCCTTGGGCTCTGAGCCTGTTCATATTGCCAACTTGGGGTGTCCCCAGGAGAAAAAACACGTGTGGTGAGTCTCTGCTGTGCCCTCAGGCTTGGACTTCACACTAATGGACCGGAGCCTAATGGACAGATGTGCCAGTGGAATTGTGGCTTGTCTGGGTGGCGCTTGCTCGTCAGAGGCCCAGGGCCTCCCTTTGCACATGCGCATTTGACGAACAACATCCACTCTGGTCAGAGTCGCTGTGCCTCGGGGCCACCACATCTGCCTCTCCTGCGGCGAGCCTTGGACTCTTGTGCAGCTACCAGAGTCTGCAATGTGTAACATGAGTTTGAGCACCAGGTGCCTTTGCAAAAAGATTTCTGTTTTTAAAAGAATTCTTTCCATCGAGATTTCTTCACATTATGAATTCCCTAGGTGTAAATAAACTTTTTTGTTTGTACAAATTCAGTTCAGGACTGTATGTGGTGAGTAAAATGGCATCTGAGATGTTTTGATCAACAAGAGTGATAATGCATTCACATTCAGGCAGCTCACAAGCGTATGGAACTTACCAAGAATGCTTAAAACGACGTTCATCTAACAAATATTTACTGAGCAACTTCTCTGAGTAGAGCCCTGTTCTGGGTCTGGCGGAAAGAGCAGCGAACAAGGCAAGAGTCTGTCTTGGAGAGTTTACATTCTCCATAGCATATTTATAACACGGTGTATAGCATATTTATAACATGGACGCAGGTTATTTTAAACAACATGGCAATACAGCATAACATCACTGGTTCCAACAAATAGTTGAGTGCCTGCTGTCTATCTAGCCAGGCCTCTGTTGGGTGCCGTGTTGCACAAAGTAAATAGTTTCATGCTCGGGTATAAAATTTGACTGAAAAACAAAACCCGGTTATCCTCATGAAAGCTGGATCTACGAACTGTGCACATAGTGCCTGTGAATGCCAGCCTCTGCCCCCCACGTAGCACGAGTCTGAGGAGACCCTGGGACAGTGTGTACAGCACAGTGTGAAGGATGCCCCGGAGCTGTACAACTGGGCAGCTCTGATAAGTCCTGCACAGCGTGGACGTTTGCCATGAAGAAATGATATGAAATTTCAAGCACAAAAGGATCACAATTGTGCGCACAGTGACTGCGTGCAGATAAGACTGGAATCAGTATTGTTGGCACCCATCTTTGGGGGTGAAGCTCAAGGAAGTTTGCTTCTACTTCTGGGCATTTCCCAATACAATGAAAATTAAAAAAAAAAAAACTTGTAAAAAAATGCTTATTTATTTTTGAGAGAGAGAGACAGCGTGAGTGGAGGAGGGGCAGAGAGAGAGGGAGACAGAATCCGAAGCTCCAGGCTCCAGGCTCCGAGCTGTCAGCACAGAGCCTGATGAGGGGCTCGAACTCACAGACCGTGAGATCATGACCTGAGCCGAAGTCTGACGCTCAACGGACTGGGCCACCTCAGTGCCCCTACAATGAAATTTTTATAGCAAAAGATTAGAAAATAATTAAAATCATATAAATAATCCTGAGATTTCCCTCCTTTCAGGGAAAATAATAACTGGCAAGAAGGTGTCTCAGTAACTGTCCTTGGGTTATTCAAAGTAGTTGCGGGTTTTCTCTGTGCCCTTGTAGGGCTTGGTTTTGGCGTGTGTAAGTGCTGTAAACATTAGGCCTCCCTGGGGACTCATGAACTCAGGAGTTTAGTAAATGCTCATTTTAGCGGCTGCCAAATGGATGCCACCCTGGCAGCTGCCTCTTTTCTGGTCTCTGAATGTGGAGAGCAGCTGTGGCTCCTTTGTTCTGCTGGCCCGGCTCCTGGGCCTGCGGGGGGGGAATGGGCTTTCAGTGGCCCGCCCTGCAACCACCTCCCGAGGGAGGCCGGCCTTTCCTTCCTGGCTTCCTCCACCCTCTCCTGACCCCAAGGTGCCTCCGGCCCACCCTCCAGCTCAAGCGGAGCATCTTGCCTAGGGAGAGGTGACGCTGGAATATCTGGGTACCCGTGGCGGCTGGACACTCCCAGCAGCTGCTGCCCAGTCCTTCTCCAAGTGGCTGTGCCAAGCGGGCTGGGCAGCTGCTTTTTCCACCAGAGAAGGTGCTGGCAGCGCTCAGGGAAGGAAGCAGCAGAAGGAGGTGGAGTGGAGACTCAGCCCCCTGAGGTAGAGACACTGCATGGTGCCTGAGGGGTACTCTTTGCTTTTGAGATGTGTATGGGGCTTGGTCCCTGGCATTCCCTTTATGTCCTTTAAGTGATCATGACAATGTTGCTAATGTTGGGGTGAAGGAACAGCCCCAGGGTGGTCTGCCTCCTGGTTTAGCCTCACATACCCTTACGTGGCATGCAGATGGTGAAAGCCTGCTCACCTTGGCTGGATGCTAGGCCTTCTGTGGATGAGACCAAGTGTGGACAGGTTGGGGTTGGGGATCATGGTGGTGCGGGAACAGCTGATTTTTATTCTGGACAGAGGTTGGAGATGGTTGGTGGGTTGGCTGTCCTAATGGGAAAGAGGAGGCAAAGAGAACCCCATGTGTAGAAGAGAGGTGTCCTTAGGAGCAGAGAGAGGCTGGTGCCCCTGCAGGTGAAAATCTCTGTGATCACAGTGCACAAGTGATTTCTTGTTGGACCACGCAGTGATGCTTTGTGGTGCAAACATGTGGCATTCCTGAATGCTGTTTGGGGTTGTGCAAGGCCACTCTTGTTCCAAGTCTGTGAGTTGCATCAAGCCTGCCCCAGAGCTAAGGTAAGAGAGAACTGGCATTTTCTTTTCAGAGTCCAAGGCCAGCCTGTCTTTGCAAAGGAGTTGTGAAGCTCCGTGGTCCTGTTATACCCCTGGGTAATCCAGACCCTCAAGAAGGGTTCTGTGTTCTCCATAGGCTAAGACAACCTCTGAGTCTCTTTTGTTCTGCAAGCTCTAAAAGAATTGGTGGCTTATGATTCTGCCATAATGGTAATCAGACTTCTTTCACTGAGCTCTGCTTGGGCCAGGAAGAAGGAAGGTCATGTTGGGCTGGTCAGATGATGTGTATAATAGCAGATCACTGTCTGAAGGCATGCTCCCATTTTAAAATAGAAATATTTCATTGTTAAAGCAGCAAATGATCTGCTTTCTGTGGGTGTATAGAGGCGGGTGTGCACCCACTACTCATTTTTGGCCAGGCTCCAGCTAGAGCCTCCAGCTTCTCCTCTGTGCCATCCAGGTGCTTCCCTGTCCTTCCCTGGGGATTGTCACAGGCCACTTCTGGAATACACTTTGGTTCCAGTTATACACTCCTGCTTGACGACAGCCCAGTTTAGCTATCCCCAGTGCCCCGAGGGGGAGATGCCTAAACCAGATTCGGGGGAGAGGCCCTTTGGGCAGAATGGTTAGGGTGCCTCATTTCACATGGGCCATCATTAAATAGGCATGACACAGGTCCTTTGTGCTGGGAAGGCACCCTGGCTCCTTCTGGGACCTGGGCCATGGTGAGAGACCCTGAGACTTCCTCGGGGCTGCAAGGCCCCACCATCACATGGGGACTTTGAATCTAGATACAAGTTGAGGATTTGGGGATCCCCAGTTTCTCTCTGTCCTCATGCCACTAATTAGGCTGGTCTGGTCGGAGGAAGCCCAGCCCCTCCCTTGGCTCCATGAACCCTGAGCCCTACCTTAGCATCCCTGGGCACTGGGCTGGCTCAGGTGTAGCTGTCAGCTAGAGAGGGGCATGAGGGGGAAGCCCCCTGAGTCCCAGAGGGTGTTGTGTCTGTCCTTGCTTAGAAACCCCCACTGTTTAAAAAAAAATTTTTTTTTAACATTTATTTATTTTTAAGAAGAAGACAGAGCTTGGGGGGGTGGGCAGAGAGAGAGAGAGGAAGACACAGAATCCAAAGCAGGCGCCAGGCTCTGAGCTGTCAGCACAGAGCCTGACGCAGGGCTTGAACTCACAGACCATGAGATCATGACCTGAGCCGAAGTCAGCCACTTAGCTGACTGAGCTGACTGAGCCACCCAGGCGCCCCAGAATCCCCCACTGTTCTAAGGGTGGAATCCAAACACTAATGTGGCCCTTGTGCTCTGGCCCCCTGGCCCCTCTCCCTTATTTCCCATGCCTTCTGCCTCTCTGTTCTCCAGAGACACCACCTTCTTTCTGACCTTGAGCTCCCGAGCCCATTCCCACCTCAGGGCCACTGCCCTGGCTGCCCCCCCCCCCCACTGGCTCTTTTCCTCATTCAGGTTTTAGCTCCAATGCCACTCCTCAGAAGCCTTCCTTATGCCTCCAACCTAAAGCAGCTCCTCATGTTGTTCTGTTCTTTGCAGCACTGTCCCTGCCTGAAGTCACGTTTATGTTTTATTTACTGTTTGCCCCCCACTGCATGTCCTCTTGTTCACTGCTCTACCCCCAGTGCCTGAATAGCATCATTACTCTGGGATGAATGGGTGTGAGTGAGTGAATATGTGAGTGACCACTGCCAGGCAACTGCAGCTCTTTCCTGCAAATCGGCATGAGGCTGGCACATAGCTCCTTGGAGCCTTCGTATCTTCAGCAGAGCTGACTGATGCCCACAGCTGCCACCAAGCTCCTTCCTGTTGAGCTTGCCCTTGGCCCCAGGATGAGGCATGCTACATGGTCCAGCGAGCAGCAGAGGGCTCTGGTTTGGCTACAGGCACATCTTCCTGTGCTCAGCAACCATGCTAAGGAGGCCTTCAGGCTTTCAGGTAGGCGTGGGATCCCCTTGGGGCAGGGAGCAGGTCCCTGTGGCGTTCTCCCTTCTACTTTTCATCCTTTTTGGTTCCTGTAGGACCCCAACATTCAATGAACCATCGAGTCGGGCAGTCCATTTCTGGAGCACAGCCCCTGGCACACCTGTTCCTCTGCATCAGCAATTGTGGAAAGCATTTCTCCTTAAACAGGCAGATGAACCAAGAAGTCATCCATACTTGATGCTTAATCAACCATCAAGTTACAGTAAAACACTATTTATTAGCTAGGACACCACTGCAAAAGAACTAACAAGTGCAAACTGCTCTGGTTTCAAGATACCAGCTGCTTAGGAACAGACGCCTTTATCAAGCTCATTTCTGCAGGTGTAACTCTGTGTGTCACTATCAACTCTCCCTTCTGAATTCCACTGTTTATTTGTGCGTTGCTACTTTGCACTGTCATTTTTAGATAGTCTTTATCTGTTGCCAAGCTAGAAGTGATAGGATGTTTGATGTTCGGTAGGGTTAATAGATCAGGCGGCTCGGCCCTGGCCTCACGGTGTGATATTTGGGTTGCTTCCAGTTATATGCTACACTCCACAGCCCAGCTGGAAATATGTGCCTGTAGGTAGAGTGAGTGAGGGTGTTTTTTGTTTATGTAATATTTTTCTCAGAATAGATTCCGCAAATGATTCTGTGTTACAGGGCCACTTTAAAGGGCTCTTTCCTATCTTGTCAGTAGTGCTTCATCATAGAAAGGAGTGCTCGGTTCCCCTCCCCAACTCCGGCATTGGGTTTCTCCATTGTAAGGTACCTTTTGCTAGGTTAGGGGTTACTCACATGCGTGGGTTGAAATGGTTATTTCCCAGGGAGGGCACTGGTCTGGCATCTCAGTATGTAGACTTAGGCTCACGGGTTGAAGGGACGCCCCCCTCCACCTTGGGCTCCCCTGGGGTGGGACGACGTGCACTGGGGGGTCCCCAGGGCCCCCCGGGAGGGAGTTGGTGCCCAGAAAGGTCTGTGTGAAGCACGGAAGCGTGAAGGTGACCCCTCTCTTGGACCTGGGGCCGCAGCAGGAGCTCGGGGCTTGGAGGCAGCGGGGAGGTGGTCCGAGCACCGTCCCTCGGTGTCCCCCAATCCCAGTCGGCCCGCCAGCGTTCGAGTTCTGGGGCGGCCGGGGACAGCGGAGCGGGAGCGCGGCGGGGGGGGGGGGGGGGGGGCCCGCCCCGGCGGGGTTGGGGGGCTCCTTCGCGGTTATTATAACTTCACTCCCTTTAAAAGGAAAACTATGCCGGGAATCCGGGGAGGTGGCGAGCGAAGCCCGGGCGGGGGAGGACGTGACCCGCGCCCGCCGCAGGGCAGGCTCGGGTGTCCCCAGAGCAGGGGCCGCGCCGAGTGGCAGGGCCCACCCCTCCGCCCCCACTCCCCCCGCTTCCCACCACCCCCTCGCGGGCGGGGCGGACCCCACCCCTGCCCCCCCCTCTCCACCTCGCGGGCTGGGCTGCGCGGCGGGCGGAGCCGCTCTTGGCCTTTTTTGGGCGTCTCCCCGCTCGGCTCCCGGGAGGGACCTGCGGGCGGGTGCTCGGCCGGCTGCGGAGGCGGCGGAGGGGGTCCCGAGGCGACCACGGGCTCAACGCGCGCGGCCACAATGACGGGAAGGTAACAGCCCTCCCCTCCCCCACGCCCTTGGGCGGAGGGCGCCACGCGCCAGGAGGGCGCCTGCCTGGGCGGGACTGCGGGACGGGACCCCAGTCCCGACCCCTGCCCCCCCCCACCCGCCCCGGGGAGCCGGCCGATCCACCTGCCGCGCCTCCGGCCCGGCCCCTAGACCTCGGTTGACTGCCGGGGTAGCGGTGCCCGTCGGGACCGGGGTGTCCGGCCCGAGTAGCGGCGCGTGTCAGGACCGGGGTGTCTGGCCGCAGCAGGTGAAGCTCCCTCCCGCCCCACTCCCGCCTACCTTGCAAGATGGGCACAGGTTTCCCCTCTCTAGTGGAGAACCAGGGCTCAGAGGGGCCGGGGCACCAACCCGAGGTCACAACCAAAGGGCAGGGCGTTAAAACCCAGACTGTGGCCTCTATCAGCTTCCCGGACCCCCAGCTGTGTGATCCTGTGGAGGAGATCTTACCTCTGGGGCCCTTGTCTCCTCCTCTGTAAGCCCAAACGGTGAAAACGGTGACAATGTTAAAAATGATAACGGGTCTGTGTGGGGGTCTGGCTAAACTCTGCCCAAGCATAGGCTGCTCAGGGGTGGGGTGGGGACAAGGCACTCCCCTAGGCCTGGCCCAGGCTGGGCTCCCAGGCCCTGGTGCCATTTCACAGATGAGGTAACTGAGGCCCTAGAGGCTGAGTGACTTAGGAGGTCAGTCACATGTCCACTAGTGTCTGGCAAGTGTTGGCCTCTGCAGTCCTTTCTGGAACATGGCTGGGTATAAGTGCATGACTCAGACTGGGTGGGAGGGGATGGTCTCCGAGGCCCAGCAGCCCCTTTCCAGCCAAGCCCTGGCAGGACGATGTTCTTTGACTTGTGGTTTGTGGGCCGAGAAAACCCTGTGGTTTTGCTAGGAAAAAGACTTGGGGAGAAGCCGTACCCAGGATTGGGGAACAGCTACGGAGGGTGGGGTGATGGCCCCAAATCTGGTGTGATGTGCAGAGTGGTCACCCAGCTGGTGGGGATACGCTGGCCCACAGTATTAGGGCAGCTAGGACACCCAAAATGGCAGATGTCTTGTTTCAGATGCACTTTGCTGCCCACTCCATCATGGCCTGAGTCTGTGGACACAGCCAGCCTTCCAGGGCTCACCCCTCCTCATGTGCTCTGGAGCCCCTGCTTTCCCTGCCCGCTTCCTGGTCCCCCACCTGTAAGCTTATGAGGACAAGATGGGACAGAGTGAAACAGGGACAGCATCAGGAGCACAGTTGAGTGGGATGTGTGCGAGGTGGCCCGGGCACAGCAAACACCCTAATAAGGCAGGGCCACACCCCTCCAGCTTTGGCAGCAGCTTTTATCCCGACACCCTGCAGTATCTGAGGCAGATCAGAGACAGAGGCACCTCTGTTCTCTTGGCAGGGCTCCTGTCGCCCCTGAGTCCCTTGAGCCTTCCAGGGAGGGGCTGCCCCCCAGCCCAAGGAAGGCAGGCAGCTTTGGGAGCAGGGCCAGCCCGCCCTGGCTTGCTGCAGGGGTCCGGCAGGTGCCCCGAGCCTGAGAAATGCTGGTCATCAAATGAAACAGGGCCCAGAGTGAACTTTGGAAAACACTGGGTGGAGTTTTTCCTTGTAAAAGTAACATTGCTCATCTCAGGGAGTTAGAAAAACCCCCAGAAATGTTAAAGATAATAGGAACAGAAAAAGAGAAAGAAAACACCCACAGTTCCACTCCTCAGAGATGCCCCTAGGAATATTTTGGTGGCTTGCTTCTTTTCTTGTGGGCTCTTTTCCTGCTCATTTGTTTTTTGCAGCTGTGAGCCATCTGGGAGCAGAGTTTGCTTGCCACACGCAGTGCCCAGGCTGGGATTGGCTTGCGCCACCCTCCCCCACTCCCCCCCATGCCGCTCAGAGGCATGGGGCCAGGCCAGCTGAGGATGGGACATCCAACCCAGCCATTGGGGTGGGCAATGTTTTTCCCATCCCAGAAGCTGTGGAGTTTTGCTTTCACTCTGTTGTGTGCCACCTTGACCTATGCATGCCCACTGCCCCCATGAGACCCCAGGGCAATGCCCACGCTGCATCCTGGTTCTCTGCACATCCACCTGCGCTACCTAGAACCAGGCTGACCTGGAAACAACCTTCTCCTCGGACACCTCACGCACCCTGCCAACTGTATAAAGTGCCAGCTTGCCCCAGGACCAGAGTGAGCAAGGCCAGGGGGAGGGCAGGGGAGAGCCAGTGAAGTGGCCCAGAGTGTTGTACACAGCCGTGCACTTTGGAAACACACCTGCGGGTGCTGTGGAGAGAAAGGGCTGCTGAGGAAGAGATTGGGAAGGAGGTCCGCCACAAGGGAGGCTTCTTGTCATTGGCAGCCTTGGGGGTGGAGAAGAGGAGGGGACTCAGGGGTCTGGGAGGTAGAATGGGAGGACCTGACTGAGAGGGTGGAATCCAGGACGATGCCCAGTGGTGGAGCAGGCGTGGGCCCCAAGCTAGTTTGGGCCATGAAGGATTGGAAGAGCTGTGACAAGTCCCTGAGGAAGTGCTGGGAGGAGGTTGGAGAGGAGGGTCTGAAGCCCCAGATTGAGCTGAGCTGGGGCAGAAGGGTAAGGAGGGCCCGGGTGTGGTTGGGGGTGGGCAAGCTGTGGGATGGAAACTCAGCCCTGGTGGGGGCCCAAAGACTCTGGACCTTAAAAACACCTGAATCTTTGTCCCAGCCGGAGGGACCTTTGACATCAGCACTGGTCTACAGTGAGGATGTGAAGGCCCAGGCAGGTCACACCCCTGCTAAGGGTCCCAGCCTGTCACTGGCCCTCCTCCAAGTGCAGCCTGGGACTGGGCGCTCACAGCTGGTGAGGTCAGTGGTTTGGCCTGCTGTAGGGTGGAGTCCCACCCACCACACGACCCTAGTCTGCTGAGGCCACCAGGTGCCAGCTCCCGAGCTGGGCCTCTGTACAGTGCAGAGCAGGGCTGCTGGATCTGGGTCCCCACATCCACCAGCACCCTTGCCCTCCGTGGTGCCCAGTCCCCACTTTCTTCAGGAGCATGCCCAGTGGCCCCCTTGGCGGAAGAGCCTGCCAGCATGTAGCTAAGATGGCAGCCAGGGCCTGAGCACAGCACGTGGAGCTGTGGGAAGCAGATGATGAGTGCCACGCAGCTGGACCCTGAGACCCAGACCAGGCCAGGCTAGGTAGCACCCAAGACTCCTCAACTCCTCCCTTTCCCTGGACTTCTGGCATTGACTCCGACCCTGCCAGTGCGGTGCGGTGGGGGGGGGGGTGGGGGGGTGGGTCCGATTTGTAGCGTGTCCATTTCTGGGCTGAAAATACCCCCACCTCGGCTCACTTCAAACTACCAACATGATGTTAACTGGTTCCCAAAATTCCTGAAAATTCAGCAGTCAGCACTTGGGAGCTGCTACAAGATGGCCCGGGCATCCTACTGTGCAGAGGGGCCCGGCTTTGTAGGCACAGTGGCTGGCCCGCGCCTCTCCAGCTACACTGCTTCTCTCTGTTCCATCTGTCAGTGCAGAGTCATACTAAATGTTCCTTAGGTCTTCATTTCCAGGGAGGGTGGGCAGAGGGGGCACCCTAACTCTCCTCCTTGTTCTGTTTATTCAAATCTTCTAAATTCCTGACAGTGAATATTTACTCAATATGGCCTAATAAGATAAACATATTAATGGGATACTTACCTGAGAGGACAGTGTTTCACTAAGATGACGCGACCCAATGTATGTATGTAAGTAAAATCAACAATGTGTCCACACTGATGCCTGAGTTTCCAGTTAAGAAAATAAAAGCATTCAAAGTCCGATTTCATGTGGGGTAAGAAGGTTGGAAAACATCACTCATCTGATGCATACCAAGGACTTGGCCTCCCAGTGGGTCAAGGGAGGAGGTGGGGGAGGGAAGCTGGCTGTGGTGGAGAGGCTGTTTGCAGTGGTGTCTCTGGCTGCCCTGGGGATGGCTCTCACAGCTCAGCCACAAGGGGGTGACAGCCCTGCCTCACAACTTGATGGTGGCCTTGGCCTCTGTTGTTTCTCTAGTAAGCTAGGTAGCTGCATTCTTCACTACACATGTGCTTTTTAAACATTAAAAAAAATAAATAAACATTAAAAAATGTTTATTTTGAGAGAGAGAGTGTATGAGCAGGAGAGGGGCAAAGAGAGAGAGAGAGAGAGGGAGAGAGAGAGGGAAAGAGAATCCCAAGCAGGCTCTGTGCTGACAGTGCAGAGCCCAATGTAGGGCTTGATCCCATGGACCATGAGATCATGACCTCGATCCCATGAGCCATGAGATAGATCATGACCTGAGCGGAAATCAAGAGTCAGATGCTTAACTGATTGAGACAACCAGGCACCCCTAAACATTTGAGATATAATTCACATTCCATAAAATTCACTGTTTTAAGGTGTATGGTTTAGTGGGTTTTAGTGCATTCACCAGTTGTGCAACTATCACCACTAATTCTATAGAACATTTTCATCACCCCCTAAAAGAAACCCCATACCCATGTGCAGTCAGTCCCCATTCTGCCCTCCCCCAGCTCCTGGTAACAATTAATGTGCAGTCTGTCACTATAGATTTGGCTGTTCTGTGTATCTTCTATAAATACAACTCTACATTATATGGGCTTTTTTTTTTTTTGACCTGGCTTCTTTCATTTAGCATGATATTTTCAAGGTTCATTTATGTTGTGGTATGAATCAGTACTTCATTCCTTTTTTGGGGGAGAGGTGCAAATAATATTCCATTGCATGGATTTACCGTATTTTGTCTATGTGTTCAGTTGTAGTGGGCATTTGAATTGTTTCCACTTTTTGGCTTTTATGAATAATGCTGCTGTGAATTTTTCTTTTTCTTTTTTTTTTTAAATTTTTTTTTTAACGTTTTATTTATTTTTGAGACAGGGAGAGACAGAGCATGAACAGGGGAGGGTCAGAGAGAGGGAGACACAGAATCCGAAACAGGGTCCAGGCTCCGAGCTGTCAGCACAGAGCCCGATGCGGGGCTCGAACTCACAGACCGCGAGATCATGACCTGAGCCGAAGTCGGCCGCTCAACCGACTGAGCCACCCAGGCGCCCTGTGAATTTTTCTATCTATATTTTCTACTCACTTGAGCATATACTTAGGAGTGGAATTGCTGGTAATTTTATGTTAAACTTTTTGAGGAATTGCCAAGCTATTTTCAGAGTAACTGCATACTTTTACATTCCTACCAGGAATGTGTGAGGGTTCTAATTTTCTCCACATCCTCACTAACACTTCTTGTTTGTTTTAGTGGGTGTAAAGTGGTATCACTTTTTTGACTTTCATTTTCCTAACAACCTGTCATGTTGAGCATCTTATCATGTGCTTATTGGCTGCTGGTACATCTTCTTTGGAGAAATGTTTGGTTTCAGTGCCCATTTTAAAATTGGGTTGTCTTTTTATTGTTGGATTTTAAGAGTTCTTTATGTATTCTGGATGTGAGACACTTACCAGCTATATGATTTGCAAAATATTTTCTCCTATTCTGTGGATTGTCTTTTAACTTTCTTGATAGTGTTTTTTGATGCACAAAAGTTTAAAATTGTGATGAAGTCCAATTTATCTATTTATTCTTTGATTGCTTGAGTTTTTGGTGTCATATCTAGGGAAGTGTTACCTAATCTAAGATCATGGAGATTTATTCCTATGTTTTCTTCTACGAGTTTATACTTTTAACTCTGACATTTTGATTTTCAATCCATTGTGAGTCAATTTTTATATGTGGCCTGAGATAGGGGTTTGAAACCATTCTTTTGTATGTGGCTGTCCAGTGGTCCTAGCATCATTTGTTGACAAAACTATTATTTTCTCATTGAATTGTCATGGCAGCATTGTCAAAAATCAGTTGATCATGGATATATGGGATTA